CATTGAATTTGTAGATAGCCTTGGGAAGTATTGCCATTTTCACAATGTTGATCTTTCCAATCCAGGAACATGGGAGTTTTTGCCACTTTCTAAGTACTGGTTTGATTTCCTTTTTCAAGTTTTTAAAGTTTTAATCATAGATGTCCTTCACTTCTTTGGTTAAGTTAATTCCTCGGTATTTTATTTTTTGTGGGGCTATTACGAATGGAGTTGCTTTCCTAATTTCAGCCACACTTTTCTCATTGTTGGCATACAGAAAAGCTATTGTTTTTTGAGGGTTAATTTTATACCCTGCTACTTTGCCAAAGTTTTGAATCAGCTTGAGTAATTTGGGAGTGGAGTCTATGGGATTCTTTAAATACACGATTATGTCATCTGCAAAAAGGGAGAGTTTTACTTCATCTTTCCCTATTTGGATCCCCTTTATGTTTGTATCTTATCTTATTGCTATATTTGCTGGAAATCTTTTTCCAGTTTTTTATGGTTTTCAAATCGTGTTCACTGCATTATATTCAGGTTGTTAAATCTTCTATAGTTTAGATGTTAAGTTAAGGTTTATAAAGTTACTCACTTGTGTCTCCTTGTGTCCTATTGGGTAGTGATGGAAGTATTTAGAGGTTAAGCTAAGTAGGAGAACAAAGTATCTGAGGGTATTGTGGGACCCTAGTTTGTTCTCCTCACCAGATGGGTGAATGGTTTTGCCTTCCTATGTCCCTACTGTAATGTGCCACCAAAGAAACAAAATCAGCTTATCAGAGACTAAAACATCCAAACCTGTGGGCCAAGTTAAACTGACATCTCTATAAGTGGATTATTATCACCTATTGGCTACAATAATGGAAAAGTGACTACACGTATTTCAATCACTTTATTGTATCAATTTTAACACCCATTTATCCTGAGATTTACCTGATGTGTATATTTATGACTCAGTAGACTTTAAGAGAAATGTAAGGAGGAAACAGAGAGAACAATTCTTGAAAGCTCCTCCTGTTGAAAAAAAATCTTTGGGGAGTGTCCTTTGTGAATACATAACATTCTGGTCTGTGTTCTTAATATCTCACTCTGGTCAAATTATGGGATCCAAGGAGAAGAATAGGAGGAACTATCACTGATGGATTTGGGAATTCTACTTTCTGGTCAAAACAGATAAGTCCTTACGCTAGCTAAAGCAGGGAGTTCCTGGGCTTCTAAAGACTTAATGGAAGAAAAACAATTTCCAAGAAAAGCATGCAGCTTATGGTGAGATAACAATGAGACAGTTGCAACTAAACTTTTAAATTGACTTCATGAACTGACCCACATGCTGGTGACTTAGTATTCCTGCCCTTACAAGTGTTATCACCCCTAGAGACACCTTCCATCATTATATGCTGACAACAATCATGTATATGCCTTTTCTTCTGCTTTCTTTAAGTTGATCCAGACACAAATTCCACCTAATTTTTTAATAAAACCAAAGATATTAGTCTTTTTTATTCATTCACCTCTTTTTTCAACACTTAAGAAATATTCTGAGTAATTCTTACATTCAAGAAAGTATTTGCAGGTTCGGAATGTGGCTCAGTGTTAGAGTGCTTGCCTAGTATGCATGAAGCCCTGGGTTTGATTCTTCAGAACCACATAAACAGAAATGGCCAAAAGTGACACTGTGGTTCAAGTGGTAGAGTGCTAGCCTTGAGGAAAAGAGCTCATGGACAGCACCCAGGCCCTGAGTTCAAACCTAATGGTGAAGGAAAGAAAGAAAGAAAGAAAGAAAGAAAGAAAGAAAGAAAGAAAGAAAGAAAGAAAGAAAGAAAGAAAG